GGTTCTTAACTGTTTTTATGTCATGGACCCCTTTGGCAGTCAGGTAAAACCTATGGATTCCATCTCAGAAGTTTTTAAATACATAGAATTACAAAGAAAAATCAATTACATCGAAATGCAGTTACTCACAAATTAGGGGGGGAAAAAAGTTCATGAACCGAAGGTTAATAATTTTTGGTCTAGAGCAGAAGTCAAAGATGTGGCCAGCAGGCTGCATGGGGGCCCATAACACTGAAGTGTAGCCCAAACCTGATTAAAATGTAACTGGGAAGCATTTAATAAAATAAATAAAAATACACTTAAACATAGTGATATCAATATGGTTTTCTAAGAAATATGTGGTCCACAAGGAATCCTTATATACAGTTTTTACCGACTCTGTTTGTATTTGAGTTTGATACTACTGCTCAAGAGGCAGGAGGAGAGGGAGAGGAAGAGTTCTATCTTCATCATTGGCCTACTGCATCACTCTGTACAGGCTGGTCCGAGCACTTGGAATACACCGCCTCCTCACCTCCACCTTTTCCTTCAAACTGAAATTTAATTAGCACCTCTCTTTTACAAAGCCTATCTGGTTTCCCCTTCCCCCAACCACCAGATGCTACAGATCCTAATTACTTTGTATATATTTTGTATTTACTTATCTTTGTATATCTTGCGTCCCCAAAACAGAATGTAAGCTCCTTGAAGTCAAGGACTGTATTTTCTTGGTCTTTGTGTTCCCCAGTGTGAAGAACAGTGCTTGGGAGCATAATAGTTAATAAATGATTGTAAATAAATTATTCTTTGATAGGAAATGACAACAACAATAACAATTAATATCTGCACCACCCTTTAACTTTGCAAAGTGCTTTTTTAAATGGGACATCTAATTTGATCTTCAAAATAACATAGGGGGATGTTATTATTATCCCCATTTTACTGAGGCTGAGATGAGCACATTAGTAAATGTCTGAGGTATCATTTGAAACTAGGTCTCCTGACCAAAGACTAACTCTGGTTGACAAGGGTACCTGTTTCCAGGTACTGAGAAGTAAAACAGAACTGATAACTTGGGGAGGAAATTTTCTAGAGTGGGAGGAATGAACGTCAAAGGGCTTAGACAAAGCCTAAGACTCTGATCAGGTATTTGGGGTGTGTGGGTGGGGGGAAGAATGCCTTTGGGGAGGGAGTGGGGAATGGTGCAGTGGCTACTCCCTACATCAGGGAAGGGGAAGGGATCAAGGAAAAGAATTTGAAGCCTCCCAGTCCTGATTTCTTCCAGAGCAGATGGGTGAGGGGAGGGCCCCATTCCACAGAGTTCTAAGTGGGGTGCCTCAAACCCTATTATTCCTAAGGCTGGGATTCTGTTGGGGAGATGAGAGAGAAAGAGAAGGAGGAGCTCTATTTCTTTGAGAGCCGAAGCATTTGGCCTCTATTCTAAAAAAGCAGAAAAGAAGGGAGATATCTCAACAAGACACAAACCCTATTATGACTGTGTAAACGAACGTTACCTTCTCTAGTGTTCCAACCCCCATCCAATGTAAACATTTTTGTTGCACACATTCACATATTCATAAGAGAACAAAAAAGTTATTTTGTGCTCAAACCGGGAGAGTCCAATTTCTGCAATTTTAAAAGCTCAGTGTTTGTGCTTGAATAAATGCAGATCATTATCCTTGGCAACTAATAATGCCTTAGCATTCCCCAGTAATCGAGAAAACAAATGTAGCAGCCTGTGGAAGTCACCCAAAGAACAAAATGGTTATGGAAATAATATAAGGGGGGAAAAAAGCCTTATTCTTTTTTGAAAGATTTTAGTAACAGTCTTTCCCTTTATCTTAAATGTCACCTGGTTGTCCTTCTTGAAATTTCACAGTGGTTTTCAAGTTTCAAAAATTTTATTTTTTTTTCAATTTCAAAACTGTACCTGTTTTCATTAGTATCCTTAAGTGTGTGCGTGTGGTTGGGGGGGTGGGGGAGGAGAGACATCAAGGGCCTACTATGTTCCAGGCACTGTACTAAGCACTTTACAAATCTTATTTGATCCTCACACCAATACTGAGAGGTAGATATTACATATTATCCTCCATTTTGAGGAAACTAAGGCAGCTAGAGGTTGTGATTTGCTTAGCTGCTATTATTATTATTATTAATTATTATTGCTCAAGGTCACAGACCAATTAAGTGTCCAAGTCCAGATTTGAATTCAGGGTCTACCTGACTCCAGGTCCAGAGCTCTATCTACCGTGCTGCCCAGCTATACTTAAAGATATGAAAATATGAACAAAGAAATGCTGGAGCAGAATGGCACATTACTTTGACCTCTGTAAATTTTAGTAGAATTCCAAATGCATCACACACACAAACATCCTAGGGCAGCAGCTTTATATGGGTGTTTTGACACAGGTAGGTAAAAAGAAAAGGGAAAAACATACAGCCAACACTTCAGTCTTACGCAAAACACCTCATCTAAATACAAGATTAGTGATTTGGCTAACCACAAAATTGACTAAAGAAAGCTTTTTTAAGAAAGACCTTTATAATGTTTGTTGGCAATTCCTGGTTCAAGTCACAGCTGCCAGTCACAGTTTACTTTAAAGTCTTCAAAGTCATTTGCAGGCATTCAGGCAACAACAAAAACAAAAATCATTAGCATTTCTACAGTGCCTATTTTGTGCTAGACGTTGTGCTAAGCACTTTACAATGATTTTCTCATTTGATCTTCAAAACAATGTAGCCAGGTAGGTGCTTTTTTAATCCCATTATACAGTTGAGGAGACTAAGGCAAACAGGTTAAGGGACTAAATAGCCCAGGGTCACACAGCTAGAAAATATCTTTCGCCCAAATTTGAACTCAGGTCTTCCTGTCTCCGGGCCTAATGTTCTATCCCCTGCACTACCTAGTTGCCTCATTGCTTGTAAGTGTCACCATAATCCTGTGAGGTAGGTGCCACAGTGAAAGGAAAAGGAAGAAAAAATTCAGTATTAATCAGTATTAAAAAAAAAAGGGGGGGAATAGACTGGTAAAGAGAGCAACAACGTAACAGCAGAAAGCTTCAAGAATTTCTACACAAGTCCTTGCTTTGCCCCAATAGCTTTATGACCTTGAATAAATCACATATCCTCTCTAATCTTCTGTTTCTTCATCTGCAAAATTATGATAATATTTACCTTTTCCTATCTCACAGGGCTATTAATAAATATAGTGCAATTAGTTATCCTATGAGCAACCTGTTACCTGCCGCATTTAAGACACTGGCAATCCACATGGTAATAACAGCTTGTTGGTATAAACTTTTTTGCAGAGGGAAGGCGGAACAAGGGCTACAAAATAGTTCACAATAGCCCCCACAAGTTGGTAGTCAAATTTAAAGTTAAATTGAGTCCCATTTTACAGAGAAGAAAGTTGAAATCTGAGACTTTAAATTCTTCACTAGTGGTAAGCACTTAAGAATAAATCATAGAACCTGGGTCTTTTGATTGTAAGTCACAGGGCCTAGCGGTGAAAGGCACTTTAGAGATCATTCTAGCAGACTCCTCTATTTTACAAATGAGGAAAATGAGTGCTGGACAAGTCAAGTGATTTTACCAAAAAAATCACAAAGGTACTGAATTTTAATCCAAATTTTCTTTTTCAAAATCCAGTGTTCCTTCCCAGACATCATGAATATCAGATACATTTTAATAATCTGAAGGTTCATTTCCAATCCATTTTCCATTCAGTTATTAAATTTCTCTGGAAATAATTTTCAATTGGTGCTAAACTTAGCTAGAGTCAGCAGACCTGGGTGTAAATCCTGCCTCAGGCACTTAGAACTGTGTGACCACTGAAAAGTCCTATCACCTCTCAGAGGCCCAAACTCATCTGTAAAATGGGCAAAAGATCTACACAACTTTAATTTCACTGGGATGTGGTGTAGGAAGTACTTTAGTAAATCTCAAAATACAATAAAGATGCCGGGGATTGTTAATAAATCTCAGGTCATAAACCTCCAAAAGAAAGTGCTATAGTAATTACCTTGATTTCTTGCTGTGGTAAAGTAAAAGCTAGTAAAAAATACTTATGCAATGTAGCAACATTTACTAAAAATGATTAACCCTGTACAGCACCAAGAGATGGAAGGAAACCATTAAAAACAGCACTAGACTTGGAGGAAGAATATCTTGGATTCCTCCTACCAGCACACTGAACAAATCACTTAACCTCTACGAGGCTCACTGTTCTCATACTTAAAATGGGGATAATAAAACTGGCACTACATTACAGAATCCTCAAACAATACCATCCAAGTAAAAGACTTTGTAATTCTAAAGTATTCCATAAATGTAGCTAACGATAAAATTAAACCGTTGATCCATACACCTGTCTGGGTGCCCAACCCTTCTCCCAATGATCCTGGCGGGGGGGGGGGGGGGGGGGGGGGGGGGTAGGGGGAACGTCCTCTATTCTGGATAAATAGTACAGCTCCTCTCTGATTCTCATGCTATGAATAAATATGGGGGAGAGGGTAAATATGGAACACTATCATGTGCTATAAGTGTGAGGCGAGAAATAGATGAAAGAAAAATGTGATTTCAGAAATGAGACCATGATAAGGTCATTTACTTCACTCTAGAAACTTTATAATATTTCCTACCACGGTTAAAAAGTGATTGAGAGGTAAGGTGATGGGTTAATATAACTCAATTGTTCTAAGTATCAATCACTAGATCTCAGAGGAGTTTAAAACTATTCAGCAAAGGGTACTAACCTTTGACTGGAGATGACAAGGCATGATAATGCCCTTACAGTACCCCCAGGGCATGGGGTTTGAAAATGAATTCCTCCAATTTCTGAGCTTTTACTGAAGACATTCAGCTAATGTGTGTTCTAAGGTTATCCTGCTTTACTCCAGTCAAAACACAAGCACGCAAGCTGGCATTCCAGACTTATCCGTTTAAAAAAAAAAAAAGAGGGGGAGGGGGAATCCAGCCCAGCCAGCTGCTGCCCCCACACCTGGTACTGCTAGGTCACTCACCTGCACATTGGGGAAAGCGGTTTTCAGAAGATAGAACATTTTGCGGTTGGACAACACATCCCCGCTGGTCATCTTCTCCTCGGCTCCTTCCCGGGTTTTCCCTTTGGCCTTCTCGTTGAGAGCATTGCTCTCGCGGACCCTCTTCACCTCCTCCCCTCCCCTAACGGCGGCCAGAACGGACACGGCCAGTAACTCACGGAGGTCCACTGTGCCCCCATCGGCCTGAGAGCCCGGCGAGTCGGGACCGCCTCCTCGGTCTCCCCCCAGGACGAAGAGAGCGAAGCGGCCAGCCAAGAAACCGGAGTAGAGATGGTAGAGCACGCCCAGCCCTAGCAGACAGAAGACGGCCACGCCAAGCGGGGAAAGGCGAATGCCCATGGGGGCCATGGCTGGACCCGGGGAAGGCGGCCGGTCCCCACGCAGCCGGAGCGGAAACAATCCCGCCCGGGAGGCTTGGAACGCGGAGACAATCAGCAACGGTCCATCGCTCCCCGCAAAGCTCCCCGACCAGAGCAGCTACAGCCCCCAGGAGCAGGGGCCCACATGGAACTAGAGGGGGTCCCCTTTCTCCTCTCCTACCCCGACCCTACCTCGAGCTATCTGTTCTCCCAGGCACAATAAAGGCAGTTCCCTCCTTCCCCTAACTCCAAGCTGAACAGCTAGCTAACCGCGTCTGCAGCCACTGCGGCCTCTCCGGCCTCCCGATCCCATCCCAGGTCTCAGCAACACGCCGGGAGAGGAGGAAGGGGTGCAGCTGGGTCTCGTTCCCACCGCCCAGCAGGGTCTTTCCCTTCCACGTTAGCCAACAGCAGAGAGAGGTGAAAGGGGACGAGTGGGTGTGTATCCGGGTTACGCACAAGAGGTGGGCGCAGTGGGCGGAGCTGGCGCTCCAGTTTGGAAACGTGTGAGCCTCCTATTTGGACGTGGGGGTGTGGCATGCCTGTCCCAGTGTGTTAATTGCTCTGTAGCCCAGAGCTAATGATCTGCACTTTAAAGTACCTGGGAATTGGGGGTACTGGAGTTGGGAATGAATCATAGCATTTCTTGCAGGGAGATGCTGGAGCTTTGCTTGAAAATATTCTCCCCCCACAAAATGATTCGTAACCTAAATCGCGATGTTCCTGTTGGCAGATAACTGGAGCACGTTAAGTCTTTGAGAAAGGGGAAATTAAAACGTGTCATATTAAATAAGGGTTGCCAAGCTTCCTTGGCTGGAGCTCCTGTGAAACCTAAAGGTCGAGGTAGAAGTCTTTTCGATTTCCATCTCCGAGTTCCAGTAGTAAAAAGGTCTGGAGAGATTATTCTATCCTCGAACCCAGTTGATGTGACTTGATTTGTCATGAAGCTCCCGTATTAGCTTCTGGGATGAGTCAGACATAATAGGAAACACAATCAATTATTTCAAATCCAGTATAAACCTTTCATAGGCACCAAATGAAAGCAGTAAATCTCTAGCTTCATTTGACTAGTCCTATTAGCCTTAGGAGACAAGCACTAGTCATGATTAGACATAGAATATCACTTTTTTTTTTATCTGAACATTCCTATAACAGAATTTGCAAAATTTATCTTACTTTATTCTTAATGAGTCAAGGGTACTGTTTACAAGTAGACTTCACCTTATTCACCATTGGATTGTCACCTTACTAGACTCTTTCACTATCAGATAATAAACACTATTTGATTGTAAACACTAGATTGTAAGTACTTTGAGAACATGCCTAACACAATGCTTTGCATATAGTTCAAAGTTCAAATGGCTCCATGATTTCATTGATTTGGGAGTTACTCCCAATAAGGCAAATTAAAAGTTATTCCTGCTTGCCCATCCTGAGAAACTCTTGCCCATTGATGTTCTGTCCATTTAGACTCAAGGATGTTAAAAGACTTGCCCAAGGCCACGTGGATAGCAAGCATTAAAGGTCAGTCAGGAAAGAGGTTTGGCATGCCCAGGTTACCTAAAATGGTGTCATCCACACAGAAAACTCTGAGGTCTTGCTTCTGGAAGACTGGAGGACTGCAGCATGCATGGACAAGTTTATCGGCACATTTGGTTGGGAGCAAACTTTTCCATTGGATGAAGAAGCACACAAAGCTAGTATCTTTAAACTATGACTTAGCAACTTGGCAACCATGACTGATGACTTAGCAACTCAAGTGGTTTTTCCTGTATTCTTGTCTGAGGGTGAACTCCACTCATACCATGTAGTAAGGGATAGAGAGTCTAAGGATCACCTACTTTCCCTCCTCACCTCTTGGGCTAAGTGACTCCCAGAATCAGGACTGGAACCTGTTCTAACTGCAGAGAGTGAGGTCTCTGATCCTGGACCTCAAAACTTGGGAATCTGAGAGACTAGTCTGGGTATTGAACTTGAACTTGATGGAGAAAATGCTATGTAGGAAGTAAACTAATCTGTAAACGGAATCTCCTCCACAGAGACGTGTGTTGAGGGGAAGGGAAAGGGAATTATGTTCCCAAAGTGTTGAGGGGAAAATTGGTATGTTTGTTGTTGCTATATATTTGAAGCAAAAATCTAGTCATAAAAGCTAATCTGATGATTAAATGGAAAAAGGTGTGAGGCACTGAACCTCATAAAATTAGGGGAACACAGTTGGAGGGGGGCTTGAGCTGATGGTAGAGAAGAAAGACTCCCCAAACTCCTGAGGGTACTAGAGAAGTCTTGGAGAATGGAGCAGGAGTTAAACCCATGTTAGACATTTTGTGTAATAAATGTTTGTGGAAATTGTTTAGAGAACAGGGAACATAAGTGGAACCTACACATTGAGGAGTCTAACAAGGCAGGACAGTGTAAACTGGGCCTGGACTGGACGGCTCTCTCTCCTGGAGCTGTAGACATCTCCCAAATCTGCATACTATTATGGAGATAATGATATACAAGGACTTGCTGCTTTCCTGGATACCCAGAGTACCTCTTGTAACTAGCTACAAAATAAATAGTGCTGATGGTGAAATACAAACAGAAATCAGATATGAGGGAGTAGTCCCCGTAGTGTTGACAACATCAGGTCTTTGGAAACTACCACTGTCCTTCATGTCAATTTGTGGGGAGGAAACTTTGCAACCAGGCCTGACTGATTTTTAAGGAGTTCTCAATGAAAAGGTCATAGAGTAAGGATGGTTAGGCAATTCAGGGAGCTATAAAGCAATGAAGACAGTTTGAAATATGAAGCATTCCATGCTACTGAACCATCCCAAATTATATGGATCATGAGATCAACAAAAAGGCTTGTTGAACAGCAATCATAAAGAGAAATGTTGAGCCATTAGTGGAAAGTCTGCCTGAGGTTTATAAAAGTAAACTGAAAACTGTTCTCCATCAATAATGAAAAAGAAGATAAAGTCACACTAGTTTCAGCACTGTAAGAAAGAATAGTAAGGCAGCACAGATGAAACTGTAAAAACACATACTTATCCTAGTATTCTACAAGAAAAAAAAATTAAAGAATCGGGAAATAAAAGAATATGACAAAGATTTTTAAGAACAGCCTCAGAAGGGCTCTGCATGCACTAAAAGAGAATTAAAAGAATTAAAGACCAAAATGTGTTCAAATCCATCCAACAAATATTCACTAAGTGCAGATTATGTGAAAGGCACCATACTGAAGAAATTTAATATTTTAATTAAAAAAATGTTTACTATGGCATGGCACATAGTAAGTACTTAATAAATTATTGTTTTGCTGTTGCCTTAAACAATGCATACAAGCAAACATCAGTGAACTGATACCATCTAGGACAATTTGGAATTTTCATATGACCTGTACATAAATATAATTACTGAAGAATTTGTTTTACAGTAGATAAATTAATAGTTAAAATCTTGGAAACTACTGGTCTTAAACAAAGGCATAAAAAACGATTAGGCTTATGAATTTGAAGTAAATTGATCAGTAAAGAATAACTTTTCAAGCACCGTCCCTGAAGTCAGGAGTACCTGAGTTCAAATCTGGCCTCAGACCAAACACTTGACACTTACTAGCTGTGTAACCCTGGGCAAGTCACTTAACTCCAATTGCCTAAAAAAAAAAAAAAAAAAGAATAACTTTTCAAACAAATAACCAAGAAAGGCAAAGACTTTATTTGTTATCCTTGTCTGCCTCTCACAGTGCCCATATTAGACACTCAGACCCCCATGGGGAAGCCAGGTGAGAAGAGGGGAGGAGGAGAAGCCATTTCCCTTTCCCATCCTGATCCCATGTCCTGAATAGGTGATGAGATCTTTTCTTCTTCCTGCCATTACCCAATCCCCCTGCCCCCTTCTGGCTGGACCTTAACTCTCATCCTCACCCATTCAGAGGAAAACCCAGAACTCATGTTCCTTGGTATTTCCCTGTAATGATGGAGGGTGGGGCCCCTCTGGACCTCAGCCTTTTGCAGAGTAGATATGACTGCTTACAACATTTGGATTATCTGGGAGTTATCAACTACAGTCTTTCCAGTAAGGAGGTCCATTAGACCTTACCATCTGCCCTGCTACTGCTATGTCCTAAGGTCCTCTAGTCATACCATCTGCCTTGCAGCTATACTCTCCAAATAAATCTATGGGAAGTGGCATCTGACCTGCCAATGTACCCCTGGGCCTTGTCATCGACCCTGCATCTGATATACAGGATGTCCCAAAAGTCTTAGTGCAGTTTAAACTTTAAAACTTTTGGAATGCTCTGTGTGGTTTTCTCCTCCAATCTGACAACTTTCTGAGAGTAGGGACTGTTTCAATTTTTCTGTCTGTATCCCCAGTGCTTAGCACAGTGTTTAAGCACATGAATGGCATTTAATAAATGCTATTTCATTTGTTAGAACCTGATTTAAAAAAAATGTGATCTATGAATATTCAAATCTTTTTTTCCCCCAAACAAAAGTGTCAATATTTTTATTTTCATGGACTTATTTGGAACTTTTTTTCCTTTTTTTTTTTGTGGACGCAGTTCAAAAAGGTAAGACATACATATATAGAATAAATGAAATTGGCATAAACTCATGAAATAAATAGCAGAAGTTTGTTTAGAAGTATCATTCTCTACAAAATGTGTGGAGTCATTCACTACTGATCAGGCAAAAGTCATTGTCACTTGTAATCTTTGTGGGAATTTATAGTAGTTGGATAGAACAGACTTCTAGGGCCCCAGAGGCATAGGAGTAACTAGGGTAAAGTAAATGGAACTTTGTCCCAGCATGTCAGCATAAGAATGGTACGCTTCCTTTCTGTGGCAGTCTTCCAGGCTACTGTCCTTTGCTTTTTGTGCTCCGTTCCAGGCCTGAATAACGTTTGACCACTCATCTGGCCCTGGGTTGTACTCCCAGTGTCTAGCCTTCATAGTATCCCTTTCTGTGGGCCACTTACCCATATCTACCACACCACTGCCTCCACTGTCTTCTTGAGGTCAGGGTAGTTGGATCAAACACCTAACAGTAGCAGATTGTCTCTGTGTGTAAGGTAGATTTCAGTGTGTATAAGGAGGATTTTTGTTATTCTTTCTAATAGTTTAGTTCCCAGGCTCCATGGCCATATCAAGCTCTAGTTTCCAGGTGCTAGATAATATTTCTCATGGTCATGGTTTGTAAACATCTCCACCATGCTTATGCAATGAGATATAGGGATGACACAATGTACGCCTGCACTGTGCTAGGTCGTGACATAATTGCCAAAGTTAACCTGTGAGCTTGATGTTGGCAGGATGCCTTCTTTGACTGTTGCCCTATTAATCAAGTGGGCACTGATCAGTAATGGGGGAACCCATTTTGGGATTTGGGTAATGCATAGAGGAATGCATGTACCTACCTTGATCAGCCCCCATCAAGGGTTGAAGGGAATCTGTGTGCTTGCCTCAACTGGCCCCC